CTCAGGCTCCTGAGCAACTGCTGTCACCACATCCATTCATCAGCTCCTGCTGGAGGACCGAGGCTTCTCCAACAGCTCCAGGCTACATGCATGACACTCTCCAGGGGCCAAGGGATTGTACTTGGCCAGGCTTCTGCCTCTGCAGCAAGAGAAAAGTCAAAGGAGCAAGGCAGAAGGGCTGCTCTAGAAAAAAATCCTGCTTTGGTTCCTTTTACTCTTATAAAATGAACAATAAATTCACTCCCTGCCATCCACCTCACAGCTCATCCCTGGCTTATATGCACCTGGGAACAACCTGCTCCAAACACAACACCCAGATGTTCTCCCAGGTCCTCCCAGCACGAGTGACCACAGTGCACAAGAGGCTGTCCCCTTTCACAGCAAGGCTGCAGCTCCAGGATCCCTTCCTGAAAGGGAGGAAGAGGACAAGACTCTGGATCTGGCCATAGCCAAAGATGGATACCAACCTCCTGCACGCACAGCCACATCCTGAGAGCACCAAAGCAAAATCACTCAATTCTTGCACCTGGAGAAGGACCTGACCCAATATCCCTGCACCTGGAGAGAGACCTGACCCTACATCCCTGCATCTGGATAAGGACCTGACCCTACCTTTGCAGTAGCTGAGCCCTCTTGTTCACAGAGCATCCCAAAACCACGTAAAGGTGCTGCTGCCCATTCTTAATGGCATATTTAAGTGACAGGCCTGCTTGTAGCTTACACAGTGTGACAATAACACTCCAGGCATGGAGTTCAGGCATCTCAGTAAGATTTTAGCACAAGCTCTGCCTCCCTGCCCTGGCTTTTACCCGTGCTTGTTATAAACAGAGATGAAAAAGGTGACCTGGAGGTAAGGAGCAGCAGAGGAAGAGAAAGGGAAATTTGCCCTCATACCACTGGGGCCATCTGGGTTCATATTAAAAACTTTAGTTTCTACTACTCTGCGCCATCCTCTGATTTCTTTACAGCTCCAGAGCTATAAATAGCCTCAAAGCCTCTTAATTGTCTAAAATGAGAGGAAACGGGCTGCTGGAACAGCCAGCACAGAAAGCGGATGGACAGGGATGGAAGCCGCAGCAGGATGTGCTGCCAGCTCCTCAGCACTGCACATTTTCTGGGGCAAGGCACCAATCCAGCTGCCAGTGCTTTGGTGAGAACTGGCAAACAGTTCCAAATCCAATGCTCCCACGTGGAGGTATCCACAACAACCTGCAGCATGGTTTTCCCTACCACATCCCAGCTGGATGCCACAGCTCCCCTGCAGGGACGCAGCCACCTCACTGCAGCACTTGCACAACACCAGCTCTGCTCCAGCGTGATGAACAGGCACATCCTGAGCATCAGTGCCAACATTAGCATCAATCTAAATCTCCCCTCTTGCAGTCTGAAACAGTTTCCCTTTGCCCTGTCACAGCAGTCTCTGCTAAAGAGTCCGTCCCCTTCTTTCTTACAGCCCCCTTTAGATACTGAAGGACCACCATCAGGTCTGCCTGGAACCTCCTCCGTGCTGCACAGCCCCTGCTTTCAGGACCATAAGGGTCCATCATCCATCTCTTGGATGATTTTTGTGGTGCTCCACAAGTGGTATTCATTCTGAAAAGGTTTTTAGAGGAAAAAATAGAAAACCTTTCCAGTATGCTGCAGGAAACTCCAGAAAATGCCAATTCTCCAGAAAAGGGAAGGCATCCAGAAAGCTCCAGCCAAACCAAGTGGTGGTCAGAGCCACTCAGATTCAGCTGCACAGACCTCACAGTTTAACCGTGCTGCAACCCAGGGGTACTCTCAGCCCCAGCAGCCTGGTGCTCACATGTGCACAGCTCCAGCAGGGACCCCACAAAGGCCCACAGTGAGCAGAGGGTCCAGCAGGGAAAGGCCCATCTCTCTGCAGTGATGCAAAAGCAACCATCAAAAACCCTGACCAGAATAGGACCCTGCTTCCCCTCTTCACAATGGATGGGGAATGGGATGGAATCTCAAAGGCAATCAGTGTCCTGATCCCTTCCTAGCACCTTACAGGTACGGAAGGATGCACGGTGAAGAGCTGCCACCACCACTTCCAGCAGCAGCATGAGAAGGCACTGCGAGCCCCTGGCTCTCAATGCACTCAACGGCATCAGCAGAGCAAGGCCCTGCCACCAGCACCCGTGGCACTGCACTGTGCTGCCTGCAGCTTCATGGAGGATTTGGCATGTCAGGAACCTTGCCATGAGGGGGTGGCACCTCACCTTGGCTGTGAAGAGTCTTCAGGCTCAGCTGAATGCCCCAACACCTCCATGTGTGCAAGCAAGAAGGAGCCCAAGCAGACTTGAAGCTAAGCCAGAATTCATCTGGAATATACACACAGCTATCGAGGATTTATTTAAAAATAAAATCTTTGCCCCAAGCAGAGATTTTAGCAACAAGATTCCTTTCACTACCATGCATTTGTAACTTTAACCATAGGTAGCTGTACCCCCCTGTACACTGGGGAAAGCAGGGGTGTGTTCCTGTTTAAAAGATGAGATGCTAACACGTACAAAGAGACTAAGCAGCTTGGTTCAGAAGAGAACAGGCACTCAGATCTGGATGTCACAAGGCTACTGCTTCCATCACCAAGGTCCTTTTGCTGCTCCCATGTCCAGCTGTCCCCAGCAGACATAGCTGTGGACTGCCAGCCTCAGCCCTCAAGGCACCACAGCTTCCAGCACACCTCCAGCACTACACAGCATTGATTTCTGCCCTCACTTCTATCCTTACTGAAACGGAAGTCTGCCTCCCAGAGCAGCCCACCCGTGAAGCACTCCCACCCCTGTTTTCCTAACAAGATGTGCATGCATCCCTGAGGCATGGGATACATCACAGCAGGCTTGGCTCTGTGCTGGCCTTCAGCAGCCAAACATTAGGAGCTCTGAAGGTGGCCACGGGCAGGGGCAGGAAACCAGCAGGAAAAGCAAAGTCTATCCCAGAACTCCTGGCCAGGATCAGATTGACTCCGCACTATTCCACTTCCTTCCTGCACTATTGGGCTCCAGGGATGAGGCCATGAAGAGGCGGACCCACATCCTTGGACTGCTTCTATTTACTTTTTTTTTTAAAAAAAAGAAGAGTGTATTAATCTGTTTCTCTCTGGAAACCAGGCAGCTGCTGCTGCTTCACCCCGTTGCTGCACCAGTCTCACCATGGGAACCGTGGGGACTTTGATGCCTGGCAGCCCGGCTGATCTCAGCACGTCTTTTGAACCCGCTTCCATAATCACCGCCTAAAGCAAGTCCTTCCCACGCAGAGGCTGCTTGGTGAATCATGGCCAGCTATTTTCCTGTCTCCAGGAACCACGCAGCACTCAGCCGGGATGAGCTCTCTCTTTCAGCAGAGGAAAAGCATAATTCTCACCAAACTGCTCCTAACAGGACACTGCCTTTATCTGCACAAAGAGCAGAAGTTCCTGTGCTTGCCCCAGCATCCGCCCCGCTGCGGAGGCTGGCTGTGCAGGAAATGTACTTCTACACATTAGGATTTCATGTAATTTCTCCAGCAGGCTGCAGGCTCAGAACGGGGAGCAGCAGGCACAGCCAGCACAAACCGGGCTGCACAAACATCACACAAACATCACCCTGCAGCACCGAGCACCCATTTGCACTGCCTGCTCCCGAATGGCAGTGCTGGCCGTGCAAGGAGTACCAGGGCAGTCTGGTATTCCCACACTTTCCCCAACTCATCTGGGGAAGGGAGGAGAAAGCAGCAGCTTGGAGGGAGTCATCCTGCAGGAAGGGCCCAACTGTGTTTGCAGGATCCCTGAAGGACGGTCAGCCCTGCAGGTTGGGACACACAGCAGTGGTGGTGGGGAACTGCACAAAACAGCCTTTAAAAGCATCTTAGGCATTGCTAGAACTCAGACACGTGACCGAGAGCAAAGACAACAACTAATTGCTTCCATGCCTTCATAAACCCAACAAAGAAACCCAAGGCAGGGCCTACAAAGGAGCAGAGCATGACGACACTGCGTGCCTTGGGGTCTCCCCGAGTCGTACACCAGACACTGGGAAGTGAACTTGCTGGGAGTGGCAGCAGCAACAAAAACAAGGACTACACCACAGATAGGACGTGACCATCACAGCAAACGCCTCCAGTGGAAAGCCACAACAGCTCAGGGACACTCAGAAGCAAGCAGCTATTCCTAAAATACTAGTGGCTCCAAAGCAAGTACAGACACCCAACCAGGCTGGCATCTACAGAAAGCAGGCTTCAGGCAAAGGCTCAGAGAGTGTTAGCATTAAACACGGCAGTCTCTGTAGTCAAGCCCCCGGGCTGGGGATTTTTAGCTGCTTTCAGCATACCTCTCAGCCTAGCAGAGCCTGAACGCAGCACACAGCCCTCCAACAGGAGGAAATATTCCTCACTCTCAGGTGGCTGATGGGGAATGAGCACAGCCAAATGACTCAGAGGCACATCTTGAGATGCTGATTTTATCAAGGAGGGACAGAAAGCGAGAGCAGGGAACACAGAGCTCTTTTTCAGAGTCATTCTGTTTTGGTGTGTTTTGTTCCCTGCAATCCGGTATTCAGAGCATTTCACTGCACTTTCATGAAAACAGCATCTCTTGCTCTTTTAAAGTTCAAAGACCCTCGCTACTTCTCCCACTCAACCTGGAGTCATAATGCTTCATCTTTGACAGTTACAGTTAGTTGGGAGGTGAAAAGGGAGCCGCAAGAAGGTGGCAAGCTTGTTAAAGGAACGGAGATCCCATTCCCAGGTAGACACCTTCACCACTGGGGTGAGTGAGGAAGAGGTGGGATGAGTCCCGCAGTTATTCTGCAGGAAACACTGGCAGCCCGGTAAGTAAGATGAGGTTTGGCACTCTCCTATCCGTGGAAATTCGGCTCTGAGTTTCACAAGGACTAGAACTGAGCCTCTGGATGAGAGCCGACACTCAGCAGGACGCAAAGCGACTCATCCCCACTGCACTGCCCTGGGCTGAAGCTGAGAGGTAAGCAGACAAGCAGGCTCCTTCCCCTTCTCCTTACCTTCGCAGCCGATGGTGTAAATTCTGTTGCTGCCGCGTTATAAGGTCACTTTCCCAAACAGGACCACCGTGACTACTCCTATACCAGCCCACAGCTGGGTGCCCTGGGTAGGGTGGGCTAGTGAAGCCATGGTCCGACTCCGTCTCTGCGGCCAGCGACGAGGCAGAGCTCCCCATGGTTCCCCCCTACCCAGGCCACGCAGAGCTTTATCCTAGGTTAGGTCCAAGGCAGTGGCACAGGCAGTTCGGGTGGGACAGGCGAGGCGCTGCGGCATGGGCTGCTGTAAGGTTCCCGACTCACTGCAGAAAGGAAGGTCGGTGCTGATCAAGAGTTGAAAAAACAAAGAGAAAAGGGGAAAAAAAAAAAAAAAAGGAAAAAAAAAAAAGGAAAAAGAGAGAAAGATAAGGTATGATTTCAGCAACACCCCTCCTGTCTTAGAAGCCTGTTAGTGCATGCTCTGACCAGGGCCGTGTCACCGAAGCCTGCTTTTGCTGCCTGGAGATGTGGAGTGCAGGGCTGCAGAAGAGAACCTCCCCAGGGAAGCACCAGGAGTTTCCAGGCTCAGGTTTGGCTGCAGGGAGGATGTATGTACGTAAAACTAAATATCCCTCTTTTCCTGCTTCCCACTAACACTGCAGTGACGCTGCATACGGGCTGACTGGCTGTCTGCACAAGTACGTTTTCTGTGAGCATCTCACACAGGGCAATGAAATACCCTCTTTCAGCTCAAGCCAATTTTTAGCAGATTCTGAGCATTCCCCCTATCCAAAGAAGTGGGTTTGGGGCTTTGAATGTTCTTCCTTTTCACCTTCTTTCATGCTTCTTAGAATCTCACAGTTAAAACCCAAAAACATTTCTTGTCCTCTGACATTCAAAGAAGTTTAAACATATATGTCTCCTTAAAGGAGGGAGGCATGGCAGTCTGGATGCGTGTCAGAAGGAACGGATCAAGGGAACATTTAACAGAGAGAAAAGAAGAAAGGAGGAAGAAGAAAAAATTAGCACAGCTGAGCTTATTCAATTACCCACCAGGATTTACAGAGATGAATGAACTGTAGAAAGACCTTTGCGAAGAATCTACTTTGCACAGCAAAAAGGCTGAAACAAAGATTCCTAAAATACAGCTTTTCAATCCCGGGGCTGTTCTAAGGGACCAAGAAAGGCCTTGATAGATAACAGCCTCTCAAATGCAGCAGCTCAAGGAGCAGGTGCAGTTTTGCTACAAGCTTAATACTGAAACGTGCCTGCATAAGGCCATTAACTGAAGAACATTAGCTACTTTGTCATGGTGCCTTCTCTGTAACCTGCAAAGCCTGAGCTGAGGAAATAGAACTGGTAAAAATAAAAGCTCAAGAACGCGATTTTCCCTACCTTGATTACCTCGCTGTAATTGGTCTGCCTAATTGCTGTGCATCAGACAGGCTGAAGACAACACATCTCCACACTGAGCTCCCTGCACAACAGCAGGGCTTTGGTTTCTTGCAGGTCCAGCCAACGTGGATCCCTGGCACTTCCCCTCTCATTTCCTCCAACTTAGGCAATGAGCTTGCAACAAATCTGATCTTCTGGCTAGCTGAAAGCAGTGATGAGGGGAAGTATCTCCCAGTGTCATCAGCTCAACTCGGACTGAGACAGCCCAGTTTCCCACTCTGCTAAGAGAACAAGCTGCCTCACCTTAGGAGTTGTGTTTTTTCCCACAAGAAAAAATAGAAAGTAAAAGCAAGTTGGGCAGAAACACAGCCAAACACAGAGTTCACTCCAGGCAGTGCCAAGCAGAAGGTGGGATGCTCGATTTGTTAATAGCCTTCTCCCCTTCACGAAGCCAAACGGCCTAACGAAGCCATCCCACAGGCTGGATCGAGATCGCTTCCTCCTCTGAGTCCTGAGCTGGAAAAGCAGAGCCCTTTGCCTCTTCCTCCTACGTGCAGAAGTGTCAGTTTGAGCTCACCACAACCGGCACAAGACATGCCTGTTGCCGGCATCGCTGCTGGCTCCAACGCGTCGCTCACGTCTCAGCCCTTCCTCCTCCTCAGGTCTGCAGCAGGGACCAGAGCACGCTGCAGGAAGGAGAGAAGCTGGGAATCCTGCTTTAAAACCCTGCAGTAAAACCCTGCGGTGGGTGGAGCTGAGCAGGGACCTATAAATAGGTTCAGGATAACCCTGCTAAGTCCTGGTGATCTCCAAGACTGTCTGGTCTATGTGGGCTGCTTGGCTGCGAGGGCTGCATGAAATCGGATTTCTCTGGGCAAAGCAGTAAATCCTTCTCTCCAGGGTTACCCTTCGCACCAGGTGAGAGCAGCCAGCAAACAGTGCACAGAGGGGAGCACTGAACGGAGCCCGTTTGCAAAAAGGAGGAGAGGCATCACTGCAGCTCAATGCAAAACACGTACCTGCTTGCCACGCCGAGCCAGAAAACGCCTTTGGCCAACAATAAGCAAAGGAAGAGTCTGCAAGATGGAAAGATGAGAATGCAAAGTACACCCTAGCAAGGGAAGGGGTCAATTAAAAAAGGCTACAAAGAGAAAAGCCTCTCTGAAAGCACTGAGCTTTATTTTTAGGAGCTTCTCCCACCGGGCAGGGAGACAGCCCAGGAGACACCCCACACAGGTACACAGCACCTGCTGAGCAGAGCAGACCTGGGGGGAGCAAACTGCCAACAGCTCCTCTGCCTTGGCACGAAGGAACAGGATTTTCCTTCTAATAAATAAAGCACTGCTTCCACCTACCTCATCAGGACAGGAAGAAACAAAGCAAATAGATTGAAGTGTCTCGGGAAGGGTGGAACTCATTCATGGAAATGAGCAGTTAAGCACCTTAGTAAGATGCTGAGTTGGGATTTTGGTTTTTTTTTTACCCCTTGCAGCTGTGATAATTATCAGGTTTCAACTGACACTGCTTAACTGCTCCCAAAATATTGCTTCCCAAACTAAAATAGATTTCATCTTTCTGCTTCCAAGTCACTCGCATGCTGGTTTGCGAGGCAGACCCTTCCTCAAATTTCCACTGATACCAGGAGCAGCAGGCACTGACAACAAGCTCAGGACAGCAGAGCTTCCCTGCAGAGGTTGCTCCTGCAGCTGGGAGAGCAGAGAGGTTGCCAGGGTGCAGGATGAGCTCTATGCCTCAACACCAGCTAGCAGGTTGGGTCCCAGCCCTTCTGCCACAGCATGCAAAGCCAAACACAGATGTCCTCAGTCACCTTCCCTTCCAAAGCAGATTTCCATTTTGAAGTGGAAAGCAAATAAACAAGCAAACAAAAAAGATAAAAGAAAAACAAGACCTAGCTCACATGTTCCAATGTATCTAAGAAACTGCAGGATCAGCTTGTCCCAAGATCTTCCCAGGATTGAGCCCAAGCTCTTCCCTCTGGCATGCAGTGCAGCAGGAAGACTTCTGGAGCTGCTCCAGCCCCTGAGAATGCCAAGGGCAGATTCACCTCACTTGGTCCTGTGTGCAGAAGCCCCCTGGTACGTGATAGATGCTCCCCACGCTCCTTTTGTTATCTATTTGTTCACGTAACACAGCTCAGCTCCTGCCTGAGTCTTCCAACATCTCGCTGCTCTCAGCCTCCCACACCTAAGACCAAGACTTTGTCACCTCGTTAGTTTCTCAACCCCATAAAGTCACCTCTGAGCTACTGCCTTCTCTGCTAGGACCCAGCAATGAAAACACAGCCAACCTGCACACCATTCAGCTCTGTTCACAGCGTCCCCCCATGTACCTGGAGGAAAAGCATCCTCAGAGCTGTGCCAGAGGAAGATGAGAGCCTCCTGCTACAACACAGAGCCCTTCTCTTCCCTCAGCTGTGTGCATGTCCCTGCCTTGGGCATCACAAAGGCTGGACCTACTCTCACCCTCAGGAGCAAAGCTCTCTGCTTTCACACACATGCAAACTGCTCCTTGCAAAGAGAAACAAGGGTTCCTGAGCCTTCCCCACCTAAATAGTCAGAGGTCAGGCACAGGTAACTGAGGATGGACGCAGCACAGAGGCCTGATGGTGTCATACCAAACGAGCAAGTAAAAGCAGCTCAAGCATTTGTGTACACAGCAAGTGACAAGCAGCCAAGCTCCTCGCCGCTCAGAGCAGGGTGGCAAAAGCTGTGCATGTGTAAAGCCAGGCATGGGCACCAAGCTGAGCACGATCTGCATTCACCATGCTGAGAGGACCTCGATAAAAGAAGAGACAGCAGGGAAGGATGGGAGGACAAGCTCTCTTTTTCCCCACCAGGCAGGAAAAGAGCAGACAAGCAGTAAGACATCCACATCAGACAGAAACAGGCCAGACTGAAATACAAGATGCTAAACCCCAACTCAAGGAGAGCCAACTCTATGGCTCAAGCACAGCAAAAGCTCCCACGGCTGCCAGCAAGACCCATGCTGCAAAACAGCCAAGCAAACCAAGTGCCCCATGCTGACCAAGTAAGTGTCTTGCACAAAGCTGGAGTCTTGGTGACAAGAAATGGAGTTTTGCTGCTCTTTCTTCCTGCCCTCACCTGCTGAGCCAGCGCTGTAAGGCAGCCCAAGTGCTGCAGCCTTGGCAGGAAATTAAGCTGTCAGAAAGTTCCAGTTCCTTGCAAAGTTGCCGGAAGGCAGAGGTGGGAAAGTCCCTCCAGGAACAGACTGAGGCATAGGTCTAACAGGAAGGACAGCACAGTGGGCAGCTGTTTCAGCCTCCAGGCTCGAGCACAGAGCTTCCCGCGTGACTCGGGGCACAGTGCTGTGACTCAAGGCACTGCTCTACCTGCCAGGGCCAAGAAGCACTCAGGCTCACAAGGCACACTTTGCCAGGTGTTACACAGCACCACAAATGGGAGGGCAGGGAGATGGAGAAAAGGGAGAAGTTTACCCACTCGAATGTTCATTACGGGGCAGTAGGGCTGGGAGGAGAGAGGCCAGTATCAGGATTCCTGGCCCAAGATGGAAATCCAGGGGACTGGAAGCTGCAAATAAGCTGTTTTCCTAATCGCAGCAAGAAACAAATAGCTGATCCACTTGTGGAGATCTAATTAAATGAAATTGGGTGCCTGGACACAGCTTTCTAGATGGGCTATTAATGAGGTAACAAGATAATTTAACCTGGAAACCTCGTCCAGCAGAACAGGACCTCATACTTCATGCTACACTTCAGCAAAGTCCAGAACAGCAGCACACCTTTCTGGCCACAGACATGAACATGCAAAGGCAAGCCTGAGGATCTTTACCTTCTTTCAACTGCCTTGAAACAGGTTCTGGCCCAACTTTAACACAGAAGAAACTCATACACATCAGCTGAGTTGGGCTGAGCTGCACTCAATGCCCAGCACTGACTCTTCATAAGTATGCAGGCAGAGGAAGAGGTGTCCAAAGCCTGAAGCAAAAGATTGATAGGAAAAGTAGATTTATTGCAGAGCCAGCTTAGCCACAAAGCAATTAGCGTCAAAGCCTGAAAAGTTTCCTCTTCTCTCTTGCACAGCACACTGTAAACCAGTGATAGATTACCCAGTGAGCTACTGGAAATCTATCAGGTCACTTTGAGAGAGGGGATTACACAGATCTGAAAGGGGAAATAGGCACCTTAATTACAAGCTGTGGTGAAGACAAGGGACAGGAAGGCTTCTTCAAAATAAAGGTTAACTTCAAACCCATCTCCATCACTAAAGAGTGATCTGAATAAGCACGAAAAACAGCAACAAAGGCACGGCAGAAGCGGCCTGGATTTGCACAAAAAAAAAAAAACCAAAACAAACAAATCTCTACAAGTGGGTGCTCTATTAAGTCAATTAGCATTACTTCAGTGAAGCACAACGGGGCAACTCGTATCTTCCAGTTTACTGGCCAACTGTGGCTGCCTTTGGAGTGCAGTGTTAACAGAAGGGTGTGTGGGCTGGCAGGGTTCATCTCATTAGCAACATCACAGTAATGCCACAGACAGAGAGACAAGGGGAAGAAACAAAACAAGACAAGCCACAGCATCCAGTCTTGGGAAAGCTTTACCAACAGATCCAATTTCAAATCTTTTTCTCTGTGCATTTATAATCCTGGCAGCAGAGCTCTGTCATCCTCCTCAGCCCACAGAATACCCCAGCTACAAAACATGCCAGGCTGAAAAATCACCCTGACAGACTGCCTGCTGAGACCAGTCGCATTGTGACAACCAGGAAGCCTTTATTTGCTGCTACTGATATGCCACAGCTTCAACTGGAAGTAGCATAAGCAGGGATGCTTTACAGGAAAAACACAGACGTGGGCCTGTTGCCAGGAAAATGCATCTTGAGTAACACGTGTGCTCTTAGTTTCCTTTTCTTTATTTTTTCCCCTCGGATAGGTTTAACTAGACACCGGGTTACCCAGCAGCAATAAAACGTTTTCTTCCCCTTCTCACTTACAGCAGAGTGTTGATTGGTAAACAGCAGATCTTCCAGTCTGAGGCTGTGCCAGCCTGTGCAGAACAGAACTGTTGTTATTGCACATTCACAGCTAGAGATAAACACGAGTAAGAGCCAGGCACTGGCTCTCCAATACATTTGCTTTATCAAGTTCACCTTGATTCAGCTGTTTCTGACAACATCTCTCCCTCCTGAAGGGGCAAGATTGCAAAAGTAGCAAGGACAAATATTAAAAAAAGAGAAGTGACAGTAATGCAAAAAGTGCCCCTCTGTACTCACTGACGCTCCAACTGCGAAGCTCAGAGCTCCACCTGCACTAAGAACAGTCAAAAGCACAACATGGAAATAAACAGGCTCGACAACACCAACCTCCCAGAAAGAAACAACAGAAAAACAAAACAGCTTTCACATATCTCAGGATAAATCTACAATCTACGAGCCACGGCTGTTGCAGGACGTAAAAGTTACAACGAACCAGGGAAGAAAAACAAAATTTGCAAGTCATCTCTCATCTGCAAGACGACACTGCTGTGGCACAAGAACAAGAAACCAGCCCAGGAGAACTGGATGCTGAAAGGGCTGCAAGTCAGAGTAGAGTTTCTAGCCTTTCAAAGTGGAGATCTCTGGATCAACTGCTCTAGAAGTGCTGGGGAAAAAGCACGCAGTTAGTTCCAACAATTAATTCCTGGTAAAGTTCACGACCTGCACAAGATGACCACTTTGAACTGGACTTGACCCAGGAGTTTCCTCCTGGTCTCTGAGAAAGGCAGATCTCAGCTGTGTGTCATCAGCCACTCGAGTTCATGGGGAGTCACAGATGCCCAAGCGTAGCACAAATGCAAGGTCACACCCAAAAGGACATCAGGGATTGTATCTTCCGATCATGCTAAGCTGACAGATAAGTAGATGAAGAGCTGGCCACTGAAGAAGGGAGGGGAAGAGAGTTGCAGCACAAAGTGCAGCCTCAGAGCCAGTGAAAGCCCAGGGCACAGATGTGAAAAGCAGTCTCAGAGGAAGAGGGAGGAGGAGATGTCCCCTGAGCACACCATCCCCAGACGTTCAGCCACAGCTTTAATTCAACAGAGATTAGGCAGACAATAAATATGTAATTTACCCAAACCACATCCAGTTGCATTCCTTTACTAGAGACAAATCCCAGTCTTCAGTGCACTGCCACATCTAGAGCCAAAAAAAGCCTCCTTTCACAAGGGCAGCAGCACCACACGCCTCCTTCTGCCACTTGAACGCAATTTAGCCTTTCCTTGCTTTGATCAAGCATCATGTCCCAATTTCCAAACAATCAACCTCAATTTAAACCACCACATCTGTGGCTGTGCCTCAAGCAAACACAGAGGTAGGATGAGCCTGACAGACAACAGTGGCATTTGGCATTTCCATCACAAACAACCAGAAGATAAAAGCGTAAGAATAGCTGAGAACATCACCAGGAGCACAGAGAACTGGGAAGGGACAGGGAGAATGAACCCAAGGGGGCAAGATGGTTTCTCTGCAGGCAAGGCTCAGTGCTGTTACCTTATGGAAAAGCACCACATTCCTGCCCGCTCCTCTCTTCCACCTCTAGATTTGGCTGGAATAACATCTGGTGTAATTGAGGTGATATAGACACAGGGGTGCCTGATGCCACTATGACATTCCCCTTTCCTCCCTGGAATAACCATACTGGTCTGCTGTCTGCTTCACCATACAGATACACCAATACAGTTGAAGCCATAGGATATGCTTAATTACGCAGGGCCTTAAGCAGTACTCACCCATGAGAGCAATTATTTGAACAAATATAACATGAGGAAAATGCTATGCTCCAGATGAGGGGGCTGAAAACCAACGCAGATGCTTTCAGGAAGCTGTAGCACAGCAGTGCCAGCCCCAAAAGACCAACCCGTGTTGTTCCAGAACAGCCACATTAGCTTAGCTCAGTTGCATGCAAGGTCTGCACCATCAGAACACCACATCCCTGCATGGGATGCCCCAGGTATGCCCTCAGCACAAGCTCAGCCCACTGCCCGCCACCTGGCCCTGCAGGACAGGCTCTGAACCACCCTGAAAGCAGCCAAGCTTTCAAAAAAGAAAAAAAAAAGGACCTTGCTGTGCTCGTGCTGGGAACTGCCACTGCTCTGCAGTCATCACAGGAAATGCAAGGCAGAATTTCTTTGATTAGTTTTCCCACTCGTGCATTGCCTCATATACATCCGCAGTCAGGCACACAGATTCCACAGCTTAAGGCTGCAATGACCACATGCTTTCTTTTCCATTCTCAGTTTCCTCTTCATTGTGATAAAACCAGGGTAGGCCAGCATCCCTGCCCACAAGAGCGCGTGGCCCTCACACAGACAGAGAGAGGAGAACGCTTCAAGAAGGAATTAAAACAAGACAGAAAGACATGAGGCACAGGAGAGAAGCAGCAGGGGTAACCACGCTCACAAAACAAACGAGAAAAGGCCTTTTTTTTTTTTTCCCCTTCCAGTCCCTCCCAGCCCAGCACAGAGCCAGCTGCAGCCAGAAAAGCCTCTCTCACCCAAGACAGTTCAGCTCTGCGGGTGCGATGCCCAGTTGGTTGTGAGCTCAGCCCGGTGTCCCCGGAATGGAACGGCTGCTGCAGGCGCCAGCTGCACGGCCCGCTTGGAGGAGCATGCTAGAGGGTCTGCACAGAGCCCTGGCAACGTGCTGAGCCTGCCAGGAGGAGCAGCAGCTGCACCAGGCTGGGGAACAAGAGAGGAGAGACACGTCAGAATAAGGGCTGCTGAGACCGCGGGCTGATCAGCATCACGCCAGCCCACGCCACCAACCTCTCACATTTTGGGTCACTCAATCGGCGTCCGTTTGAACTACAGCTCCCAGAAGGCTCCGTGTTTCCTGCAGCATCAGGCTGGCGATGGGCCGGCGCTCGGTCCCGCCTGGAGACAGAGCTTGGTCTGCTTCTGAGTCGACTCGCACTCTTCACTCAGGGTTTCAGCCCCTTTGGCTGTGATTTATCGCCCTGCTAACCCTGCAAGCAAGGCGGCTGCTCGGCTTCGCTGTGCTGAATAACACAGCGCCTCACAAGCACAGCAGGATCCCAGCGATAAGGGCTCTGGACAGCTCTCAACAACCAGCAGCAGGGCAGGATTCCTGTGCAGGGACTGGAGGGGCACGCTGCCTGCATGGTCAAACACAAAGAGACTCGTTAACTACCCTGCGTGGTCACAGCATCGTTAGCACTTACAGCTACTGCTAATTGCCAAGTACAAATGTGATCGTGTCAAATGTCCCGTCCCTAAAAGATATGGAGTCTGAACACCAGCCCCAGCAAACCCAGCTGCCCTCCCTCCTGCAGGACATTTCCCCACGCCCCTTCACACTCCCTGCTCTTGGAGCAATGTGTTTTAAGGAAATTCACACCCAGGGAAAGCGCCGTCTCCTTTAGGATGGGCTTCCATAAGACAGAGCAACAAGAACCCCCATCCACCACTGTTCGGTTTGCTGGCACACTTTTGCTATCTCTATTTTAGACTGGGGAGGAGGCAAAAAAGACAATGAGGTTTGAGCAAGAACATCACTGAGGATTCTGGGGGGTGTGAGAGAAGCACAGGAGAGCGACAGACCCTGTTGTGTGCCCATCACCCTGCCCCTTCAGCCACGCTGTCAGGCTGCTGCTGGGGTAGGTTACAGAGTATTCGTGGATTTTCTCCCCTTGCACAACACACAGATTCCAGGCAGTAGGAAAAGGACGACCCGTGTGAACAGCTGGGCCTGCAGCACGGACTGCTAGCCACAGCAAACCAGCACACGAAGAATGCTACAGAGCAGGCAAGAAATGCTGCTTAGGGAGCAGCAGAAAGCAAGTAATGAGCTGATTAAGGTTTGAGGGGACCACCCTGGCCCTTTTGGCCCAAAGCTCTGCACAACACAGGGAATGCCTGGCCTGCAGCACTGCCGATGCTCTCACAGCAAAGCCAGAGGTCTTCTCAGAGCTGATGAGCCAGCGAGGTAAACATGGGAGGACAGAGCACCCATAGCTGCCTACATCAGCTGGCAGCACACCACGTCATTTTCCTTGCAGGAGATGTGTCCACATACGCATTGTCTAGGAAGACAAACCGCTTAACTCCCAGCAGCTTAAAGTAAAGCCCTTCTGGCTGCGCTCAGAGCCCAAGCAGTGCCAGGCTGAGCCACAGGCACACAGCTCCATCAGCCCTAACGCCAGGCAGGATCCCGGCACTGAACAGGCACCCTGTGTTCTACAAAAGGGGCTGCATTGCAGGAACAGAAGAGCTGTTTCTCTTTTAGGAACGCATTTTAGAGTTCGGACCATCGGCAAAGCGCACTTGAACAGAGATATGGTTCCAATGCTGTTTCTAATGTACCAGCCTAAAGACTCGGGTTTTTAGAAATCAAACTTGATCATTTCAAGCTGGCAAAAATAACCCCGTGTTCCCTCAAGTTATTTTCTTTTCAGCAAGGCAGGGTACAGCACAATAGGAAATAGCAGCAGTTATGTACTCAACCTCCAGAAACCCAAAGGGCCAATTGCAGCAACCCACAGCAGCTTTCCAGCCCTCCCCAATCTATTTGCTGGAGTTAGACTGAAAAAGCTCGCTGCCCCCAAGCCATCCAGCAAAACCCCCATCCTGCTAATTGCATCAATATAAATGTATTATCTTGGCTGTCAAACAGCAGCTGGATGAGCAGGGCTGCGCTCTGCGATGTAAATGTAGAAAAACAATTGTGCTTTCTGCTGGTGAAACATTTCTTCAGATCTTATTTCCTTTCCAGAGCTTCCCCTTCTGCCCCGACACTCGGGCAGCATGTATTTTTTTTTTTTTTTTTTTCAGAGTGAGAGGAAATAGCAAACAAAACCTCTCCTCGCCTTTAAAACCAAATGTGAGCAAGCTTTGGAAACGACTCCATCATTTCCCACCATCCGAGACAAGAACACGCAGGGAGGGGAGCTGTGAAGGCAAGAATGAAATGCTCCTCATGCACAGCCAGCAATCCTTGTGCCTTCCTCAGCTGAGCACAAGGAGAGCAACACCCCTTGAAACAGCCAAGTGCAGGAAGATATGGGACAGCGTGCAGACAGCACGCCTTGCTGAGGCAGAAAGAGGAGGAGGAAGCCCCCAACTCCCACATCCAACCCACATAAGCAGCCCTTCCCAAGGCTGCACTACCTGTGGCCTTCCTCAGAGCCCCGTGTTCCAGCTCAGTGTGCAGTGCTGCTCGCTAGGGATGCTGCCCCAGCACAGAACCACGGTGTGGCTGGGTGGGAAGGGCCCTCACAGCCCCCCCCAGTCCCACCCCTGCCATGGGCTGGCTGCCCCCCACCAGCTCAGGCTGCCCACAGCCCACCCACAGGGCATCCCCAGCTCCGGGCAGCAGTGCCTCACCACCCTCTGAGTGAAGAATTCTCACCTCAAATCTCCCCTCTTTTGATTTTAAACCCTTCCAACTTACCCTGTCACTACGTACTCACGTAAAAAGTCAATCTCCTTCAAGTTTATCAGCTCCCAGCTGCTACACAGCCACCTCCGGACCTCCCCACAAAACCTCCAGGACAACCAAAAGCAGTGGATTTCCCCCATGATAAAACTCCCCACTCCCAGCCATAGGCTTTGGGCCATTCCCTCCACAGATACAGCCCTCAGCAGCCCACCCCTTCAGGGGCTCACCCCATCCCCCAGCCACTGCCAGGCTGAACAGCACACCCAGCTTTTTTTCTTTTCTTTTTTTCCTGTATTGTGCAAGTTTAGCACTTTTGTTTTATTCCAACTCAGAAAGCATTATGACTGGCACAAGCCTTGGGCTCCCATAGGCTCCAAATCACCAGACTGAACCTGCAGTTCTCCCGTTCCCTGACCAAGCAATCCGGCCTGGCAGGCTCCAAGTCACATGAAACCTCCCCAAAGGGTTCTACAGCCTCAGGGCCCACCTAGAAAAGGAGCTGCATCAGCCTCGGACACGACCAGCAGCTGATACAAGTTACAGCAAGCTAACATCCCCAGCTACCTGAAACCACAGCACCTTGGATCACGTCTCTCTGACACACGTTAGGGTCACGTTCACATCGGAGCCAAAGGACAGCAGCACCAGGTGCTTCACACACCCCATATGTTCCTGCAGCTCATTCCTCACCCACAGCCCAGTCCTGCTGCACTTCACCACCAGCCACAGCCAGCACGAGAGGGGGGGAAGATGAAGTCCTACAAGAGCCCCACAGCAGGGTGAGGAGAGGTTCCAACATGAGCACAGGCAGCCTGGGCTGGTATTAAACGTGGAGGTTGGTGGCCTTGCCTGTGGCAGGGGGTTGGAGCTTCATGATCCTTGAGGTCCCTTCCAACCTGGGCCATTCTGTGATTCTGCGACCACAATTCCACAATGAGATCAATAGGCATCATGCTCAGGCCCTGCTGCCCCCCAGGGCATCAGCTCCACGGTTGAACCTTCTGTCTGACATTGGAAAACCACCCTCCACACTGCGGGCCCATGGCATGCTGAGATTTCAGTCTGAAGGCAGCGCCCAGAGGAACCAACCTGCCATGAGGAGCACAGCACACAGCTCCCATCCCAACCTGATATGGGGATCACAGCACACACAGCTCCCATCCCAACCCGATACAAGG